CACCCATTCCAATATAAAGGATTAATCAATCAAATAATAGATAATAAATGGGTTGGTGTGAAAATAAATGAATTGCTGGTTGTAGAATACTATTCTCGTCAGACTTAAACCTAACTAAAATAACAAGAGTTTTTTTTCTGCCATTCATGTATCATAGACATAGATATAGGAAGATTTTCATTTCTTGCTCACTTTTTCCACTATTTTCCGTATTACCGAAAAAATTAGGAATACAGAATCCATATCAAAAAGTTGAAATAATGGTATCCATTGTTATTTGAAACATTGCGATGAGTAATATTGATGAATTTGGTAAAGGTTCGGAAAGAGAGGGATTCGAACCCTCGGTAAACAAAAAGCCTACATAGCAGTTCCAATGCTACGCCTTGAACCACTCGGCCATCTCTCCCACAGAATGATGCCCAGAAACCTGGTGAATAGTGAATCATTGATATTCTATTTTGGTAGGCGCATAAAACTAATTCGAACTAGAAAAATAGAAAAGAAAATAAGAAAAACCTCTTACGAGGCCTTAAGATAAACAAATTTGATTAATGAGTCAATTTTTACGTTATTTCGTACTGTATTGTACAATTCCTTTGTTTGTGGGATTCTTTTGATTTCTCACGCGATAAATAAATTATGGAATGGATTTCTACCTATGCCTAGATCTCGGATAAATGAAAATTTTATTGATAAGACTTTTTCAATTGTAGCCAATATCTTATTACGAATAATTCCAACAACTTCAGGAGAAAAAAAGGCATTCTCTTATTACAGAGATGGTGCGATTTGATTATCTTTATTTCAATTTTTTTTCGGTAAAAATTGAAAAAAAAAACCTACGTTTGCTGAAGGTGAAATTTGTAAATAAAACGATTAGTTCCTTCTGTCGTGTATCCCCGATTAATGCAGCCTCATATGCTTCAATTTTAGGTTTATAGTATTAAGCGAAAGGTTATACCTATACTTATAGGGGTTAGGTCAACCCTACTCTACTAGTACCAATGGGCGGCATGGGGGAAGAAGCACTACGCTTAGGAATCAACAACACGAAAACTTTGTAAAAAAAAAATATCTTTCCTTGTCTTATCGGGATAGAGATTAACAAGAATGGTTGGGACAATAAACATCCATCTTGTTCGTATTTTGGATACCCGTATAACCATCGAAGATTGTTGAAGTGATTAATTCCGAGAAATTAAGCAACGGTGAGGACAAAGAAATTGTTGAAGTTACTGTTTTTTTATCCAGTACCAACATATTTGTTGTTAAGAAAAAATCTTTTAC